TCTACGGCCTGAAGCAGGCACCACGAGAATGGCATGCGAAGCTGTCTGCTACTCTCCAGTCCCTTGGCTTCTCCCCCTCCCACTCCGACGCCAGCCTCTTCATCCGCTCTTCCCCCAGTCGCTTTTTCATCTCGGTCTACGTTGACGACATGATCCTGCTGGCGGACTCCAGGGCCGACATGGACCAGATGAAGCGGTCACTTCAGGAACGACTCAAGTGCAAGGACCTTGGTCCCCTCCAGAACTACCTCGGCATGGCTATCACCCGTGATCGATCCGCCCGCACCATCACTCTCTCCCAGTCCCACTACATCGGCCAGGTCCTGGAGAAGTTTGAGATGGCGCAGGCCAAACCAGTCTCCACCCCCCTCCCCTTCGGTCACCAACTTGCGCCACCCACCTCCCCCTCCTCCTCCTCCCGGCCCTACGCCGAGCTCGTTGGGTCGCTGATGTACGCGATGATGTGCACCCGCCCCGACCTCGCCTACCCCGTCAGCGTCCTTGCTCGGTTCGTCGGCTCTGGCCGTCACACTGAGGAACACTGGGCTGCCGCCAAGCGGGTCCTTCGCTATCTCTGCGGCACCAAGGATCACGCTCTCACACTGGGTGGATCCTCCCCTCCCCTTCTCTCGGGCTTCAGTGACTCCTCTTGGGCAGACAATCAGCCAGACCGCCGCTCCTCCCAAGGCTATGGCTTTACCCTCGGCAGCGGACTTATCAGCTGGCGTTCCACCCGCTCCTCAGCCATCGCTCTCTCTTCCTGCGAAGCTGAGCTCTATGCGGGCACCATGGCCGCTCAAGAGTCCCGCTGGCTCTGCTTTCTTCTGGCAGAGCTTGGTGCCCCCCAGCACTATCCCACGCTCTGGTGTGACAACGCCAGCACCATCCACCTCACCCAGGATCCAGTCTTTCATGGTCGCTCCAAGCATATCGAGCTCCGTTATTTCTTCATCCGCGACCTCGTCCGACAGAATCTTATCGCCGTCCGCAAGATCGCCACTGAAGCCAATTTGGCGGATATCTTCACCAAAGCACTTCTTCGCCCCGCGCACTCTGCTCTCCTCCGCCTCATTGGCCTCGCTCCCCCAGGCGCGCCTTGATTCAGGGGTTGCTTCTCTCCAGCCTTTCCGCATCTCTGCAGGTTAAGGGGTTGTGTTAGAATATCTCCTCTCTTGTAACCTGCATATATGCTATAGGATAGGCTAGAGATAAGCACCCAAACTTAGTTTGGGTGTACAAGCAGGGGTTACCCAATTTGTAGGTTGGAAACCCAACCTTGGTCCAATTATTGGACCCCAAGGGTTGGGATGGGTAGAATTATTGGTCCCCTCCAATAATGTTGGCCCAACTCCAACTTGGCCAACATTATTGGACCCCACCAATAATCTCCCAACCCAACTCCTTGGTTGGGGTCCAATAATGTTCACCTAGGCTAGTTTCCAACTCATCTCCTATGTAAACCCCCCATCCTTTCAATCAATCCATCAACTTCTCTTCTAACTTTTCTTCTCACATAAGGGTGTGTGTAGTAGGTGCGTGTTGTCTTACATGCATAAGGGTGTGTGTAGTAGGTGCGTGTTGTCTTACATGCATAAGGGTGTGTGTAGTAGGTGCGTGTTGTCTTACATGCATAAGGGTGTGTGTAGTAGGTGCGTGTTGTCTTACATGCATAAGGGTGTGTGTAGTAGGTGCGTGTTGTCTTACATGCATAAGGGTGTGTGTAGTAGGTGCGTGTTGTCTTCCAGGCATCAGGCACTAAGAGGCTTTTTTGAATCTTGTATTCTCCCATCGATCCTTACTCGCTGCTTAACCCAAGTGACCTTTTGCCACCCGTTGCAATCATGCGTTTTTCTTCCTACATCACACCTTGGGACTATCTCTTGCTTGCTTGATCACCTGCAACTGGTTGCTGCTACCTTCACCAAGAACACTGTCTGCTACATGCAACAGAGATTTGGCACTCTCTAACCCAGCTTTCTTCTTCCGGGTGCATGTCTCCTTCCTCCATCTCTCACTCATATCCGATTTTTGATTCGACTAAAAAATCCACTCTCTAACCCAGCTTTGTTCCTCCTGGTGCATGTCTCCTTCCTGCATCTCTCACTCACATCCGTCTCTTGACCCCGTCTGCCTACAGTCTTTCAGTGGGGTGGTCGCTTCTTGGGCTCTACCTTTGGCCGCAGGCACAGCCTGGCGGAGGTATCAAGCACTGCTTTGAGTCGACTCAAAATGCATCTCTCTCTCTCTCTCATATACAAATCTCTCTCTCTCTCTCTCGCTCTCTCTGATGACCCCGTCTGCCTACAGTCTTTCAGTGGGGTGGTCGCTTCTTGGGCCCTACCTTTGGCCGCAGGCACCACCTGGCGGAGGTATCAAGCACTGCTGCTTTTGATGCCTGTGATATCAAGGCAGTTTCCAAGGTGCACGTGAAGCCCACGCGCAAGGCTAGAAAGTCTTTCACTGTTGGAGCACGGCAGCTGTTTGTTAGCACGGTTGGGAAGGACTGTGGCAAGCATGGCATGAAGCTAACAGTGGGGTTGAGGTGAAGTTGCATTTTTCCAATATGACATGTTGAAGAAGATTGAATTGGTCCATAAGCTTTCAGTCTGGGTTCAGTTTGGTTTGAGTCACCCTGATCCATGAGTGTCCCCAGAGGATGTTTTGATTGAAGGTGGAAGTTTTGTATAATCCTCACAACAAATCATGTAGGGTCCAGGTTCGATGCAGTCAGATGGTACGGTAGTAGACTGATGAATCAGCCCACACCCCAGACAAAAAGCCCTAAAATTTGTATACACTGCAAAGCAATCACCAAAAACAAACTTCATCCTCCAAAGCAAACAACCGTAGTGAGTGAGCTTCCTGTTACTCTCAGAGATGCATAAGGGCATTCTCCATAACTAACAATCATGAGACCACCTTCGTTGGGAGCGTATACAGTGGCATGAGAAGCAATTTGCCTTCGAAGTTTTCCATTTATACAGGTAAGCAAAGCAACATGCCAATCCACAACCTACTTACAGTGCAATCATATCCATTGTTAAGCTCCCTAAACTTGTCAGTACTGCGGCGGTATTTCTTAGCGATCAACATGCCGCATGTGTCTCCTCGCTTCACACTGTATGTTCTCTTGGTGGAACATGAAATGCCAGACAACGGCCGGGCATCAATAGCAGCCACACAAACCTGCGAGTCAACTCAACCATCAGTACAACAAGGGGAAGAACAAGACCTGCATAAGTTCACATTCATGCAGTACATACACCCAGACAGACATACAGACAGACAGACAAACACACAGACACAGACAAACACACGGAAAGACACACAGACAAACACACAGACAGACACACACACACAGAAACACATAGACAGACACACGGACAGACGCACAGAGACACACACAGACAGATACACACAGAGACAGACGCCCAGACAATCGCACAGACAGACACACAGACAGGCACACGGACCGACACACAGACGGACGGACGGACGGACATGCATGCGCGCACACACATTCTAGCCGGCTGTGAAGCACATAAGTGCAACCAGCTCCCACCGTTTCTGACAGAATCTTGCATGTCACTGCCTGAAACTACTCCCAGAAACGAGTTTTGAGTCGACTCAAGAATCTCGACTCAAGAATCTAATTTTGAGTTGACTCAAGAATCTTGACTCAAGAATCTGGCATGTCACTGCCTGAAACTACTACCAGAAACGGATTTCTTGCAGCCCACTCATCTACTGCTCACACCCTCAACCCCTTGGTTGAGTTAAGAGTCGCCCCTAAGTCGAAAAAACTCGAAGTTTTAATGGACTCGACTCGACTCTGGGCCAAGAAAAGGACTCGCAGAACTAGTCGAGTGAAATTCGACTCGTCATTTGTCCACGTCTAGTGTGCGGAGCCCAAGTGTGGGCTGCTTGGCAGTGGGCTGGCGGATGCAGGAGGTATTCTGGGAGACCAAGACCATTTCCTTACCTTTTTGCACTCTTGCACACTCTCTCACAGACTCTCTCTCTTGCACACACTCTCACACACTCTTGCACACTCTCTTGGACTCTCTCTCAGAGTCTTTTGCATTGCACAAACTTGCACACTTTCTTACACACTCTCTTCCAGAATTTCTTGCACACACTCTCTTTCACACACTCAGGCCGTGCAACCCAGCTCACCTTACTCATCACATTTCCCTGCAGCGGGCTGTATGGCAGCAAGGAGTCGCACGAGAGGCCGGGGTTCACCTGGAAGACTTTGAGTCGACTTAAAAACCACCCCACATGCAAGCCGTCCAGCTCACCCTACTGATCACATTCCCCCGCAAGGGGCTGCACGACAGCAAGGAGTCGCACGAGAGCCCGGGGTTCATCTGGAAGAAGCGCGTGGGAGAGGCGATGGCAAACGCCCAGAGCCCCCTCCCTCCGCTTCCTTTCACCCATTCCCCGTTCCTTTCTCCACTACCCATCCCCCCACTTGCCCCCCCACCCACCAAACACAGGCTGTGCAACCCAACTCACCTTACTCATCACATTCCCCTGCAGGGGGCTGTATGGCAGCAAGGAGTCGCACGAGAGGCCGGGGTTCATCTGGAAGAAGCGCGTGGGAGAGGCGATGGCAAACGCTACCCATCCCCCCAGTTGCCCCTCCACACCAGGCCGTGCAACCCAGTTACCCAGCTCACCTTACTCATCACATTCCCCTGCAGCGGGCTGTGCGGCAGCAGCGCATACCCCACCTCCTCACCCCCACGCAGGCCGTGCAACCCAACTCACCCTACTGATCATATTCCCTCGCAGCCGGCTGCACGACAGCAAGGAGTCGCACGAGAGGCCGGGGTTCATCTGGAAGAAGCGCGTGGGGGGGGCGATGGCAAACACTACCCATCCCCCCACTTGTCCCCCCACCCACCGCACACAAGCCGTCCAACTCACCCTACTGATCACATTCCCCTGCAGGGGGCTGTACGACAGCAGGGCAGCACACAGGCAACCAAGCTCACCTTACTCATCATATTTCCCTGCAGCGGGCTGTACGGCAGCAAGGAGTCGCACGAGAGGCCGGGGTTCATCTGGAAAAATCTTGTCGGGGAGGGGATGCCAAACGCCTGCCACAGCTGCTGGCAGGACTGCGGGCCCTGTAGCACCTTCATGAACACGCCGTTGTTCATGTAGTCGACTAGGGGAGCTGGTGGTTGAGGGCTCGAAGGTGGTGTGGCTGGGATGATCAGGGCGGAGACTTGGCATGCCACGCGGGTTTTTTCTATGTCTAGCCACGTTCGGTTGAAGTCCACACAGAGGAGCTGTGGGGGAAGGAGAAGGGGGAGAGGGGGGAGAAAAGGAAGAGGGGGGAGAAGGGGGAGAGGGGGGAGAAGAGGGGGAGAGGGGAGAAGGGGGGGGAGGGGAGAAGGGGGAGAGAGGGGAGAAGGGGGAGTCAACACCAAAAGCCTGCCACAGCTGCTGGCAGGACTGCGGTCCCTGCATCACCCTCACTGTCACACCGTTGTTCGTATACTCGACTAGAGGAGGGGGTGGTTGAGGGCTTGGAGGTGGTGTGTCTGGGGGTGTGGTGATGGCTGGGGTGATCTGGGCAAAGACTTGGCATGCCACGCGGGTTCTTTCCAAGTCTAGCCACGTGCGGTTGAAGTCAACACAGAGGAGCTGTGGGGGAGGGAGAAGAGGGGAGAGGGAGGAGGGAGAGACGAGATGGGGGAGAGGGGTGGAGAGGAATGGGTGAGTTGGGCAGAGACTCGGCATGCCACGCGGGTTTTCGCCAGCTCTAGCCACGTCCGGTTGAAGTCCACACAGAGGAGCTCCGAAGGGGGAAGGGAGGAGAGGAATGTGTGATCAGGGCAGAGACTTGGCACGCCACGCGGGTTTTTTCCAAGTCTAGCCACGTCCGGTTGAAGTCCACACAGAGGAGCTGGGAATGGGGAGAAGGGGGGAGAGAGGAGGGAGCGAGGAGGGATGGAGGCGGAAGGGAGGGAGGAGGGAGAGAGGGGGAGGGGGGAGAGAGAGGAGGAGGCGGGAGAGGGGAGAGAGGAGGGGGGACAGGGGAGAGAGGAGAGGGGAGAGAGGGGAGGAGGGGGGGAAAGAATGTGTGAATAGATGCCCATTTTCTGTGGACTTCGAGTTCTGAGATGAATGAAGGCATGAATAACTGTGTGAATCGCGTTGCGATGCGTGCGGTGCGAGGTTATGCAATGCGATGCAACGGGATGCAAGCATGCGATATGATGTGATGCGAGAACTTCCACAAACAATAGAGCCGCTTTTGAGGATTTCTCAAAAGCGGGATGCAAGCATGCGATATAATGTGATGCAAGAACTTCCAGGAGCAATGGAGCCCATCTTGGGCTTTAGTGATTTATCTGCACCTGCACTTATTAGCACCTGCACTTATTAGCACCTGCACTTATTAGCCTGCACTTATTAGCACCAGCACTTATTAGCACCTGCACTTATTAGCACCTGCACTTATTAGCACCTGCACTTATTAGCCTGCACTTATTAGCACCAGCACTTATTAGCACCTGCACTTATTAGCACCTGCACTTATTAGCACCTGCACTTATTAGCCTGCACTTATTAGCACCAGCACTTATTAGCACCTGCACTTATTAGCACCTGCACTTATTAGCACCTGCACTAGTTCATCTGCAACTGCAGCACACACATGGTCGGGCCGAAGCCCATCAGAGCAGGTGAGGGCGGGGTTGAGCGGCTGTATGCGCGTGGAGAAACACTCACTTGAACTCATCTGCACCCACATAAACAAATGTACACTCACCTAAACCTACTTGCATCCACCCGCATCCACCTGCGCCCACCTGCGCTGCGCCCGCCTGCACTCATCGGCACTCATCTGCACCCATCATATGCACCCACCTGGCCGGGTCAGGGCCCATCAGAGCACGTGGGTTGCTTACACCTGCACCCGTCTCCACTCATCTGCACTCATCTCCACTCATCTCCACTCATCACCTGCAGCAGAACCCACCTGGCCGGGTCGGGGCCCATCAGAGCAGCTGAGGGCGGGGTTGAGTGGCTGAATGCGCGTGGAGAAGAGGGCGTTGAGGGAGTCACACGTGTCACCCTGCAGACATGGGAGGGAGTGGGAAGCAAAAGCGAGGTTATTAGGAGATTCGAGTTGAGTGGCTGTAGGTGCGTGGAGAAGAGGGCGTTGAGGGAGTCACATGAGTCACCCTACAAGCACACATGTGAGGATGGGTTTAGAAGGGAGTGGGAAGAGAATGCGAGGTTATTGGGGAAATCGAGTTGAGCGTCTGTAGGCGAGTGGAAAAGCGAGCGTTGAGGGAGTCACACGAGTCACCCTGCAGACACACATGTCAGGTTTAGGGCATATTCCAGGCTCGTGTCAATCTGCGATTGGTGTCAGACGCCAATCGCGCTTGACACGAGGTGGAGCCGCCTAATCCAATGTTGAGCACATTGGGCCACTTCCTGCAATCACAATGGTCGGTTTAGCTGACACCAGGAGGAATATTCCTCCAGCAGTTTTCAGTTGACACCAACACAGTTTGACACGAGCCCAGAATGTGCCCTTGGAAGGGAGTGGGAAGAGAATGTGCCGTTAATGGGAGAATTGAGACGAGCCGAGGGAAATGCAAACACAGGCGGCGGGAGATTCAACGCGAGCATTGAAGAGAGTGTTAGTTTATAGGTTGAGCTCACTGCCGCTTGCATCACCGGCCCTTGGATAAACGCACTCGCAACTGCATAAACGCAACGCAACAGCACTCACATAGTTTGCAGTGTACATGGAGGTGCACTGGGAGAAAGCCCTGCTGGTGACGTTAATTCGAGTGTGTACGACTTCTGAGGCGCCTCAAAAGACAACGGCACTCACGTAGTTAGCAGTGTACATGGAAGTGCACTGGGAGAAAGCTCTGCTGGTGACATTGATTAGAGTGTCTGCAGGGATGGGCGCTCGACACTGGAAGCCCTGCAGTCAGCACAAGGAGAGATGGAGGATTGGATGGGTTGGGTTAACGAGACAGGGAGGATTGGATGGGTTGGAACAAGGAGACAGGGAGGATTGGATGGGTTGGAACAAGGAGACAGGGAGGATCAGATTGGTTGGAACGTGGGCAGTCGACAAAAAAAAAGCGTTGAAAGGGATGGGAAGGGAAAGGGGTGTGGGAGTTGAAGCTCTGCGGTTAGAACAAGGAGCGATTGACACGAGGCAGGCAGAACAACCAGGAGAGATGGAAGATTGGGTGGGTTGGAACGTGAGTAGTTGACAAAACAAAGAAAGCATTGAAAGGGATGGGAAGGGAAAGGGGTGCGTGTGGGATTTGAAGCTCTGCGGTTGGATTGGAACAAGGAGTGATTGGCACGAGGCAGGCAGAATGGGATGTGGGAAGAATGATGGGAAAGTGAGGGCAGAGGGGCAGTGAGGGAAAGTGCAGGACAGAAAGGAGAAGTGAGAGGAAGTGAAGGAAAGTAAGGGGCCGAGTGAGGGGCAGCGAGGGTGGGACGGTAACCATAAAAAGGGGCAGTATAAAAGGCAATGCAGTTGTGTGACGAATCTGATGTAACTTGTCTTATAGTAACCCAAACTGCAAATTGATAGCCTTCGATATGTGAAGAAGCCTTTCGGACCTTGTTTTGGCTGAAGAAGGCCGCTTGGGTGAGTCCGTATGTGTTGAGGATGAGAGGGCATGTGAGGCCGTAGGGAGACAAGAAGGTGGGCAATCGCAGCTCAAACAATCGCACTGCACGCACGGGAAGAGCATGCACGCACGGGGAAAGCATGCACGCATGGGGCAAGCATGCACGCATGGGTAAAGCATGCACGCATGGGGAAAGCATGCACGCATGGGGCAGGGGAAAGCATGGGGCAGGCATGCAGGTCAATGCAATGCATGCAGCAAGGCGAGGAGACACTTGAGTTTACTCAAACAAGGTCCTTGCAAGGATGGAAATGGCATGCCAAAGTGCCGGAAATGAGCCTTGCGAGCATGGGACAGGCATGCAGGTTAAAGGTCAATCCAATGCATGCAGCAAGGTTAGCAGACTTTTGAATTCACTCAAACAAGATCCTTGGAAGGATGGAAATGTTAGAATCTATCTTCTCTTGTAACCTGCATAGATGTTATAGGATAGGCTAGAGATAAGCACCCAAACTTAGTTTGGGTGTACAAGCAGGGGTTACCCAATTTGTAGGTTGGAAACCCAACCTTGGTCCAATTATTGGACCCCAAAGGTTGGGTTGGGTAGAATTATTGGCTCACACCAATAATGTTGGCCCAACCCCAACTTGGCCAACATTATTGGACCCCACCAATAATCCCCCAACCCAACTTCATGGGTGGGGTCCAATAATGGTCACCTAGGCTAGGATCCAACCCATTCCCTATGTAAACCCCCATTCTCCTCAATCCAACATCAACTTCTCTTCTAACTTTTCTTCTCACAGGAAATGGAATGACAAAGTGCAGGTAGCAAGTGTTACGCACACTGGTTACAGCGGGCAGAGCCTTTTGGATAGAAGTAGAAGGCGAAGAAGGGCGAGGGGCAGAGGCAGGAGTAGGTGCCGTCTATGTCGTCAATGCACACCCCCGGGGCACACGGGTTGCGGGGGAGATGGCGACACCTGAAGGAATCTGGTAAAGGGGCGGGGAGGAGGGGGAAGGGGGAAGAGAACAGGGGAGCAGAGTGGGAAGGGGGTGAGTGAGCAGCACGGCAACACACCACCGATGCACATTCCCGGGGCACATGGGTTGCGGGGGAGATGGCGACACCTGAAGGAATCTGGTAAAGGGGCGGGGAGGAGGGGGAAGGGGGAAGAGAACAGGGGAGCAGAGTGGGAAGGGGGTGAGTGAGCAGCACGGCAACACACCACCGATGCACATTCCCGGGGCACATGGGTTGCGGGGGAGATGGCGACACCTGAAGGAATCTGGTAAAGGGGCGGGGAGGAGGGGGAAGGGGGAAGAGAACAGGGGAGCAGAGTGGGAAGGGGGTGAGTGAGCAGCACGGCAACACACCACCGATGCACATTCCCGGGGCACATGGGTTGCGGGGGAGATGGCGACACCTGAAGGACTCTGGTGAGGGGCGGTGGGGGATGGGAATGGTGGGATAATGGGACAGGGGGATGGGGGATGGGGGACGGGGGATGGGGCAAGGGAGGCGGGGGAAGGGAGATGGAGAATGAGAAAGGAGGAGAAGGGGGAAAGAATTAGGAAGGGGAAGAAGGGCGAGGGGCAGAGGCAGGAGTAGGTGCCGTCTATGTCATCGATGCACACCCCCGGGGCACATGGGTTGCGGGGGAGATGGCGACCTGAAGGACTCTGGTGAGGAGGCACGTGGGAAAGGGAATGGTGGGAGAATGGGACAGGGGGACGGGGGATGGGGGAGGGGACAATGGGGCAAGGGGAAAGGGGGATGGAGAATGAGAGAGGGGGAGACAGGGGAAATGAGGAGGAAGGGGAAGAAGGGGGGAGGGGAAAGGCGGTGGAGGGAAAGGAGGGGAACAAAGAAAAATGGGCGTTGCATGAGTGGTCATGGTGCATTAGAAAAAAAGGTAGGTTCATAAAGGACGTTTTCAGAACTAGAGGGTATGGGCTTTTGCCTTTTCCCAAGAGTGTAGTGAATCGAGCACGAGAGTGCATGCGAACAATACTATGTCATCCACATCCACAAACGAACCAAAAAGGGCACCTGCAGCTCTCCACCTCTCACCCACCGCACTCCACCTGTCACATACCGCACCTCACCACTGAACGACTCACCGGGGAAGCAGGAGGGCAGGCCGGAGAGGTGAGAGGGTTCGAAGGAGGGGAGATTGAAGGGGCACTTGCAGACGGGCATGAGGATAGAGGAGTCCCACGGGGCAGGCGCGTTGGTGCACACACCCGTTCCACAGGGCAGCACTGGAGAACCCGTGCAGGGATCGGTGTCTGTTGGGGGGGGGGGGGGGGGGGATGGGAACAGGGAAAGGCTGGAGCATGCAGCATGCAGGCATGGCACAGGGCAGCAGTGGAGAGGCCTTGCAGGGGTCAGTCGTCTGGTGAGGGGGGACGAAGGAAATGAGCGAGACAGTTGGACAGTGAGGAGAGATAGGGTACGAGACACGTCACACGAGGACAATCGGGTCCCGTGGGGCAAATAGGATAGAGGATCCCACGGGGCACGCGCCTTGTCACACACACCCGTCCGACAGGGCAGCAGTGGAGAGGCCTTGCAGGGGTCAGTCGTCTGGTGAGGGGGGACGAAGGAAATGAGCGAGACAGTTGGACAGTGAGGAGAGATAGGGTACGAGACACGTCACACGAGGACAATCGGGTCCCATGGGGCAAATAGGATAGAGGATCCCACGGGGCACGCGCCTTGTCACACACACCCGTTCGACAGGGCAGCAGTGGAGAGGCCTTGCAGGGGTCCGTGCGTATTGGGGAGGTCAGGAGGATGGGAACGGGGAAAGGATGTGGGACACGTGGGGGTGCAATGGGGTGCAGTGGGGTGCAGTGGGGTCCTCCCTCCCCTCTTCCCCACCTGTGGAGGGGAAGTGTGTGTTGTTCAGGGGCCGGTGTGTGTCAATGTTCCGTGGGGTTACAGGAACGATAATCCTTGTGTGGGGTCGGTGTGTGTCAATGGGGGGGATGGGACGGAGAGTGTGGGAGAGGGAGGGTGCGGGGCGGGAGAAGGGAGGAGCTCCAGCGAACAGGTGCGTTTGATTTGAGCACCACGGAACACAACGAGGAAATCTGAGGGGTGCAAGGGGATACGTGGGGGTGCAAGGGGATACGTGGGGGTGCAAGGGGATACGTGGGGGTGCAAGGGGATACGTGGGGTTGCGAGGGGATACATGGGGTTGCGAGGGGATACGTGAGGGTTCAAGAGGATACGAGCGGATGCAAGGGGATACGAGGGGTGCAAGGGGGTGGGTGGGGTTCCGTGGGGTTACAGGAACGATAATCCTTCCTCCCCTCTCCCTAACTGTAAATCAGAATGTTCACGGAGGCAGGGGCATGTGGCTTGCGAACCCTTCTCTCTTTCCCTCCTCATCTCACCCCCTCGCCCCTCCCATCCCGCAGACCCCCAGTTCTGAAGACGCAGCACACTCACTCCGGCGCCTGCTCGTCTCCGACTAGGGGTTCTTTTGAGTCGACTCAAAACACGGCCCCGTACCTGTGAATCTGAAGGTCCAGGACGAGAGGGTGGCAGGAGAGGGCAATCGGCCCGAGGGGGGAGGGAGAGCAGCGCTGGTGAACCCAACAAACAGCCGCCCAAAGGATGGCGATGCTGGGTCCGTCACACTGCTGCTGTCACTGCTGCTGCCGCTGCTGCTGCTGCTGCCGCCGCCGCTGCTGCTACCACCGCTGCCGCTGCTGCTGCTTCCACTGGCGTCAGATGCCCCACTGAGAGCAGCACATAGGTCAATAGTGACCCTCATGATGCCTCTTAGAAAAGGGGGTCGGTACCACCTAAGCGCCATCTCCTTGCTGCTCCCATTATAGTCAACCCTCATGTGCCACACCTCCTCGGGCTCCATCACATAAATCGATTCCTTTGCGAAAACCGATGTCATGTTAAAATCGGTATTAATGCCGACGAACACACGGTTCATACCGCCGATTTCTGGGCTTGCTACAGTGCGCCATAAGACAGCTACACTCCGTGCGCCGTCCGGCCAGCTGCCATTAGCGAGTCGCGAAGACGGGTCCCGGCCGTACCCCATATAAGCCCCGCCTAGGCCCACGCTCGCATGTGTGCTTATAACGAATGCGAGCCCTTGAGACGCGGATACATTTATGGAAAAGCCGTATGTGAACGTAAAAGAGCGGGCCATGCAGGTGGGAGGCTCGGCAGGAGGTTCGGTGGCCGAGGGTTGGAGAGGGGAGGAAGGAGAGGAGCTGGAGGAGCTGCGAGGAAGAGGAAAGGAAGGAGGAGGGAAGGGAGGGGAGGAGGAGGGGTAGAGGAGGGGGAGACGGCGAGGAAAGAAGATGGCTCCAGGGGCGGGGTCGTCTGATTGGCCGGTGGATGCCACGTCAGCAGCGACAGAGAGGTCGGCGGCAAAGAAACGCTTCCTTGTGCTGCCACGTGTCAGCAGGGGAGTGGCTGGCGTGATGTAGGGGAAGGAGAACGAGTCCGCCGCCCAAAACGGAAGCGGATCCTCCGCTGCTGGGGTTGATGATGTGATGTGATGCGATGCGATGCGATGCGATGCGATGCGATGCGATGCGATGCGATGTGATGTGATGTGATGTGATGTGATGTGATGTGATGTGATGTGATGTGTGAAACAGGGGGAGGGAGACACAGGAAGGGGAGGAGGGGAAGGGGGCCGGGGTTCGGGTGAAGGTTTGAACGACGACATGGCATCACGTGCTGAGTCGTAAACTGGTCCCTGAATTTGACGTGGTCTGGTATAAGCGAAGAGCGTGGAACGTGGGTTGAGGTTTTGGAAAAACAAAGCAAGGGAAAAAAACGGGGGGATTGGATTGAGAATACCGCAGTACAAACTTTGAAAGAGAAGAATGGAATGCGTGGTGAGAGCACAACCTGGAAAAACCATTATCAAAAGAGTTTGCGTACTGCGTATTAACGCCTCAAAATACGCCTCGTGCTCCGGCGTTTCGAGTCGACTCGAACGCTGTTCTAAACACCGGCTCAAAATGACACCTGAACTCACCTTCCCCGACTTCAAAACTCCACCCCAGCACCTCGTGCGCCTGTGCCTGCTCCGCCCCCTTGCCCGAGGCCGCTGTGAAACCCACAAACAACGGCGATGGCGGCGCTGCCGCTGCTGCTGCTTTCAAGTCATTCCCACCCACCAACACCTGCTGAGCTCACCTTCCCCGACTTCGAAACTCCACCCGAGCACCTCATGCGCCTGTGCCTGCTCCACACCCTTGCCCGTAGCCGCTGTAAAGCCCACAAACAGCGGCGGTGGTGGCGCTGCTGCTGCTGCTTCCGGGTCGTTCCCGCCGAGCCACTCGCATGTGTCCAGGAAGGTGGTGAGGACGGCAGAGCGGGGGAGAGGGAGGGAGGAGGGAGAGGAGGAGCGAGGGGACGAGCGGGGAGGGGAGGAGGGTGGAGCAGGGGAGATCCAGACAGTGAGCTGGGAGGAGGAGGCGTTGTACTGGATGGTGGCGAGGAGGGTCTGAGCGGCGTTGAGGGAGGGGATGCCGACGGGGTGCACGGGGGCAGAGGCGAGCGACAGCATGCTGCCGTGCACGTTCACCCCCACGTGGTGGTCAGGGCGATCGAAGAACTCCGGGGAGGCGCTTGTGTCGAATTCCACTGCCAGGCTCCGCTGCTGCTGTGCATGGGGAGGGGACGGGTTGGGAAGGGGGGGTTGGGGAGAGGGAGGGAGGGGAGGGGGAGAGGGGGGGGGTGGGTGTGAGGGAAGGGGTAGGCAGGGGGAAGAAGCCAGCATGCTGCCGTGCAGGTTCACCCCCACGTGGTGGTCGGGACGGTCCCAGAACTCGGGTGATGCCGATGTGTCAAACTCCACTGCTAGACTCCGCTGCTGCTGTGGAATGAATGGGGGGGGGGAAGGGGAGGGGAGAAGGGTCGGGGCATGTAGAGATTCGGATGTTTAACTGCGGGGTTTCAGTGCAACTGTGGAAGGTTGGGAGCAGGGGGGAAGGAGCAGATAGGCAGAACATGAGCAGCAGGGTAGGGGAACGGACAAGAGAGCAAGCGAGCGACGCTCTCCTGCTCAGCTGCTCTCTCACAAGAAGGGATCAAGACAAGCGGAGTACAAACATGAGCTTATGCATTTCCGCGCACCTGTGCTGCTGCACACTGCTGGCGCTGGAATTATCATCACCAGCACCAGTCGTGCTCCCCGGGGGCAGCAGCAAGCGGCCGTAGCCCAGGGACGGCCCCGGCAAGCCGAGCGTACCTGAGAGGACACTGTTGCACTGTTGGCACTTGAACTATCATTATCAACAGCACCAGTCGTGCTCCCCGGGGGCAGCAGCACGCGGCCGTAGCCCAGGGAGGGCCCCGGCAGGCCGAGCGTGGGCGTGGGCAGCATGACAAACGCCAAGCCCTCGCCGCCCAGCCCCGCGGCGTTGGGGGAGGAGATGCGGAAGGCGAAGGAGGTGGAGAAGGAGAAGGGGCGGCAGGGGGAGGTGGGCGTGGCAGGGGCGAGCAGGGCCAAGGGGGCGGGGTGCAGCGCGAGGGACGCCGCATTCACGTCGGAGAGCGTGGTGAGGGAGAGCGACGAGCGGTTGCGCCGAGCTGCGCCGGCTGTGAGGAGCGGGTGGGCGCTGGAGAGCGGCCAGTAGGAGAACGACTTGACGGGCGAGGGGTCGGCTGCAGGGCAGGGGGGTGGGGGGGATGGGGAATGGAAGTGAGTGATAGATTGATTATGCACGGGAGTGGACTGTGGGCTGTTGAGAGAATGTGTGTGCCGCGCATGCTTTCAGTGTGTCGCGCATGTTTTCAGTGCGCCGCGCATGCTTTCAGTGTGCCGCGCATGCTTTCCGTGTGCAGCGCGGCATGCTTTCAGTGCAAAGCGCAATGCGCTTGTGCAGTTGGGCGAGTTCTACAACTCGGCTCGTTCCCAGCCCGTGCCTAGGGACGAGTGACGAGTTCGACTTTCCGCCGAAGAAACTCGTTGGAAACTCGCGTCTTTACGCGAGTTTTTCTAGGGACTTGCGAGTTTTTTTAGGCTCGGCGCGTTTCAAACAAAAACCCGTCGCGACATTTGCGCGCAGGAAAGAGGGTTGGATACAAAAGTCAACATTGCGGTTTGGGAATTTAGTTTAAGATGCATCCGTCAAGCATACAGTGTGCTACTAGCTATTACTAGCAAGCATCTAGCTCAAGTACAACGAATCGTAAGTAGTTCGCGCGAAGAAAAAAATCTTGGAGAAAGTCGTCTGGGAGATTGAAAGTCGTCTAGAAAGTCGGCTAGATCTAGATTTGGATTTGACCTCACTTTAGAAATTCCAAATTTGAGATCAGTTGGGTTTTCTAGATTCTGTGCGGTGGAGGTAGGTAATGAGGGGTGGATTGGTTGGGAACAAATTTGTAGGCGAAATTGTGGCTACGAGATTTGTTCCCAGCGAATTACGGATGACACAAAGTGCGGATGACGACACGAAAACAAAGAATACGGCCTCAGGTGCGGTACAAATTCAATCCCTCTCCCCACGTTACATAGGCTGCGGCGGGTTTTAGAGAAACTCGTCCCATTTGGATGAGTGACAGGTCCGACCCGGGCCAAAAAAACTTGGCCGAGTTCTTACCAGGACGAGTCGAGTTTTACCCGGCTTAGTTGCACGTCTTAGCGCATGCTTTCGGAGTGCTGCGCCGCGCATGCGGCATGCTTCCTCCTGCAATACCTTTTGACACGCCCGTGACCCTGCCAACCGTAGCTACCCCTCTGACTCACTGCTGGTGGGCACAACACACACGAGATCAATATCAGTGCTCTCCGCATCCACCGCCACGCCCACTCACTTTACTAGAACGTGCCTAGTACCTCCCTTTCTCACTCACCTGGGAATGGGACGATAAGCCTGGACCCGTTAGGTGCCATAAATTTACGTAGAAGCAACTATGATGTTTAGATAAAATAATGAGAAAGGTGCTTGGTTGAACGTGCCGACCTCACCCTCTCACTCACCTGGGTTGGGACTCTATCCCTCCTTGCAGCCCGGCCCCCAACGCGGCCTATCACTCACTCACTGCTGGTGGGTATGACAGATACGAGGTCGATAGCAGCAAAATTTCCCGCTTCCGACGCCACGCCCACTCCCTTTACCACCAGAACGGGCCTAGTACCTCCTCTCACTCACCTGGGACTGGGACTCTATCCCTCCTTGCAGCCCGGCCCCCGGCCTATCACTCACTCACTGCTGGTGGGTATGACAGGCACGAGGTCGATAGCAGCAATACTCCCGGCTTCCTACGCCACGCCCACTCCCTTTACCACCAGAACGTGTGTATTACCTCCCCCACTCACTCACCTGGGACTGGGACTCTATCCCTCCTTGCAGTTTGCCCCCCAGCGCCCTATCACTCACTGCTGGTGGGCATGACAGAGACAAGGTCGATGGCAGTGCTCCCCGCTTCCGCCGACGCCACGCCATCACTCTTCATCACCGTCGCGTTCGCTCCCGCTGCTGCCTTTTGAGTCAATTCAAAAGTTCCCGACGCAACTCCAACTCTCTTCTCCATCGTCGCATTCTCCCTCCCTGCTACACCTGCTCCTGTTGTTGCTCTGCGCATGGAGAGCGGTAGTGTGGGAAACCGGAGCAGCCGTTTCAGGGCGGATGCAGCGCGGGTAAGGTGAGGATGTAGAGCTGATCGGACTCGGAGGCCCACGGAGGAGATGGTAAAGCCGCTGCTGCTGCTGCCAACGCTGCTGCTGCTGCTGCTGCTGCTACTACTGCTGCTGCTTCTGCCAACGCTGCTGCTGCTGCCAACGCTGCTGCTTGAGCTGGTGCTGGTGGCGCCAAAGCTATTGGCGTCACTGCTGCTGCTGGCAACTAAGCTGCTTGTGGCGGTGGCAACTCCGCTGCTACTGTTGCTGCTGCTGTTGTTACCGCCTTGCACGCCTCGGATCACCAAGTGCAGCGCCACTCCCCCCGGAGGCACTACCAACGAGGAAGGCGAAGAGGCGGAGGAAGAAGAGGAGGAGGAAGAAGAGGCGGAGGAAGAAGAGGCGGAGGAAGAAGAGGCGGACGAGTCAGGGGGGTCAGGGAGGGGGAAGAGGAGGGGTCCCACTTGGAACCAAGGCAAGGCGCCGGACAAGCTCGCGCTGCTCCCCCCACACGGCACGCCCACCCGCCACTCCCCCCACACCTGCTCCCCCGCTCCTCCTCCCCCCGCCCCTCCCCCTGATTCTGCCCCTCCCCCTGCCGCGGCGGCGGCAGAAGCGTTCAGCGGAACTGCCAGCAGCAGCACCTTCAACAGCCGCTCCGCCTCCCCTTGCGCGCCCCCGTCCCCCTCCGCGCACAGGCTGGCGCGCACAAAGAACGAGAGGGACAGCTGGCGCGGGGGCTGCTGCTGCTGCGCCTGCTGCGACACGTTGCTCGCGGGCGCCGCGGGTTTGAGTTCGCACAGCGCTTGCGACACGCCAGGGCCGCCCAACGCACTGCTGCTACTGTTACTACTACCATTGCTACTACCGTTGCTACTACCGGAAGCACCGTTGCCACTACTCGACGACACGGAAATATCAGATGTCAGCCGTATAAAACGGGACCCATCAGCTGCCAGTAGGATGTCCGCGATACCCGCGACCCCGTTCACTATTGACACGTCAGCAGGCGGCGCCGCCCTGCTTGCTGTCGCGAAAGCTTCCGCTAATGTCGTGCCTGCTAGCGCAAGCGGCGATGATCCGCGATTTCCGCCGCCAGATGCGGTGGCTATGATCTCGTCGCTTAAGAATGCTTCCCCAGGCTCTAACGCGCGCCATGGGAATAAGTACGGCCATGGCTGGCACGACGCGTTCAGCTTGTTGCGACGACGTCCTGTATCGAGACAGCTTGTATCGAAGCTTGGGTTCGAGAGGAGGTTTGAGGGTTCACCTGTGACGGCCAAAGAAGAGGGGGTGTAATGGAAGAGAATTGGAGATTTTTAGGGTTATCGAGCGGGAGAGGAAGTGAAACAAGAAGCTATGGCGAGCTGCCACGCATGGCGCGGCTGACCTGGCCGGCCATGGCGACTAGGGGGAGCGCCGTAACGAAGAGAAGAAAGAGAGAAGAGTAGTTAGATCATGCAAGGCTACGGCGCAGCGACGCATGGCGCGGTTGGCCTGGCCGGCCATGCATGGCGACTAGGGAGAGCGCCGTAGCGAAGAGAGAGAGAGAAGAGATCAGTAGAACGTCGCAGCGGAAGGAAGCTAAGCTACTAGAGAGAAGCCTAGATTCAGGAACGTAGATGAGTGTTGATAGGAGAAAGTTCAAGAAGATGATTTTTGATATCAGATTAGAAGACGATCCAAGGATGTTACAACAAGATTCAGAGAAGCTGCTTTATGCTAAAAAGGAGAAGCTGCTTTATGCTTTATTCAAAACCGCATCGCCAAGCTTTCAGCATGGCATCTTGGCATAGCGCCTCGATGCCATGCCTTGCTGTATTTTAGAGTATGACGGGGATAGGAGAGTGTTTTATAGGCTAGCAAGTAAGAGTTCGGAGCTAGCTACTATAAAATATACATCTTCTCTCCCATTCGGATCCCGACTGGTTACAGGAACAAAACCCTAAAAGATGCAGCTTTGCCAGTTTTTGGCACTCTGGCGTCGGCGACACGTTGGGCTTGAACGAAAAAAAGGTAGCAGCGTGCACACCGGGAAGCGATCGACAAGGGACTTTAGGGTTGGAGGAGGAAGAAGGCGATAAAATGGCTAGGGGGAGAAGGGAGGAAAGTGTAGTAAATTCTGGAGATTTGAATACGCTGGAGAGAGAAGGGACGAGACTGAGTGAGTAGAGTCCCGTCACTAGAATTGTGCTTACGACTCTACTACTACTATAGCGACGAAACAGTAAATGACGGTGATGCCTAGAACGGGAGAGGCTGAGCCTCTTACTTGGATTCGTTAGGTTATAGCAGTCGACGAGACCGTCAGCGACGCGAAGGAAGGCTACGAGATAGAGGAGAATCGTAACCGGTAGGGGAATCGCGACACAGAGAACACTCGCGGCGGCATCTGGTTGAGCCCGCAATCTGCGGCGAGAGATGCAACAGTATTTCATCTGCCCTGACACGTCCTAAGCATAAATTAATTCCCTATAGGTTTTCCGATAGGTTGCATCCTGAAAGAGGCGTCGGACGTTTCGGAGCAAGTTCCGGACTGACACTTGCCATTCCGAGTCGGCCTGTCGCGTCGAGCGTATTGGGACTGCCCCGCAAACAGCTATAGTGATCGACACAGTTGGTACTCGAAGAACAGGGTGTTACCAGATAGGCATCGAGCTGACCTGCTTGGAGTGGGTAGGAACACGTATGACGATAGGCAATTCACGCCAGCAGCACCTCCCCTCCCCCGCGTTGACTATTGCTGCATTACAGTACAGTAAGCGTATGGAGCCGCGTGCAGCTGTTTGATGTACTAAATGACGTCATGCACCTGGTGCCATTTTCTGACGTCGGGGGGCCAACCAAAAAGGTCGTACTCGCAACAGTGCCCAGCCCAAGCATTAATTTTCTAAATAGACCGCTCTGGATCGTATCAAGCCCTGCTCAAAACCGTTAAACGTACTCTCCAGACCCGACACGCCCTTTCATTTTGTTGGCGAACAAAATGCTTCGCAGCAGCATGTGACTCGGGCCACTTTCTTTGCCGCAAGAGCTCGTTATTGAGCTGCTGTCGAACAGAGCCGTTGGTTCTTCTCGCACCATCATATCGAATCGACTCGTGCTTTTACGCGAGCAGGTTTGTTGTGATAAATGTGGACACACATACCCTACGCCATTGACGAAATCATCAACAAGCCCACGCGGCAGTGAGTGAGGGAAGGTGAGGGACCAGCTGGCAAGGGAAGGCACTAGCTGCCTTGCAACATGAAATAGTGTTCCTACCCGCAGCACGTCAATGCGTAACCACCTTCCCAACCACCTTGTAGCAGTTGTGGCGAGGCGATCACCATAGCTTCCCAATACCGCGGGGCATTCCCAATACCACTGTAGTACGCTCACCGCGACAGGTCGACTCGCCGGAATGGCAAGTATCGGTTCGGGGATTTGCTCGGAAACGCTCGACGCCTCTTTCAGAATGCAACCTAACGGAAAACGTAGCCACTTTGAAGAATGTTTGCTTTTGAGAACGTGTTGGGACGGATGAATTACTTCCGCATCTCGCGCCGCAGATTGCGGGTTCAACCAGGGACCACGAGACTTCTCTGTGACGCGATTTCTCTACGGGTTGCGTTTCTCCTATGTCTCGTAGCGTTCGTTCGCGTCGCTAACGGTCTCGTCGACTGCTATAACCTAACGAATTTGAGTAAGAGATTCCGCCTTGCTCGTTCTTGGTGTCGCCGCCATTCACTGTTTCGTCGCTATATTAGTAGTCGAGTCATAAGCACAATGTAGTGGCGGGACTCTACGAACTCAACTGGCTAAGCTACATCTTTAGGGTTTCGTTTCTATCGCGATTACCATAAATCTCCAATTCTTTTATTATACCTCCTCTTCTTTGGCCGTCACAGGTGAATCGTCAAACCTCCTCTCGAACCCAAGCTTCGATACAAGCTGTCTCGACACTGGGCGTCGCAAGAAGCTGAACTCGTCTTGCCATGGCCGTACTTATTCCCGTGGCGCGCGCTAGAGCCTGGAGAAACATTCTTAACCAACAAGATCTTAGGCACCGCATCTGGCGGCGGAAATCGCGGAACATCGTTTGCGCCAGCGGGCGCGACACTGGCGGAAGCCTTCGCGACAGCAAGCAGGGCAGCGCCGCCTGCTGACGTGTCAATAGTGAACGGGGTCGCGGGAATCACGGACATCCTACTGGCAGCTGACGGGTCCCGTTTCTTACGGCTGACATCTGATATTTCCGTGTCGTCTAGTGGCGGCGGCGCTTCGGGCAGTAGCAATGGTAATAGTAACAGTAGCAGCAGCGCGTTGGGCGGCCCAGGCGTGTCGCAAGCGCTGTGCGAACTCAAACCCGCGGCGCCCGCGAGCAACGTGTCGCAGCAGGCAGCAGCAGCAGCAGCAGCAACAGCAGCAGCAGCAACAGCAGCAGCAGCAGTCCCCGCGCCAGCTGTCCCTCTCGTTCTTTGCGCGCGCCAGCCTGTGCGCGGAGGGGGAAGGGCGCGGAAGGGGAGGCGGAGCGGCTGTTGAAGGTGCTGCTGCTGGCAGTTCCGCTGAACGCTTCTGCCGCCGCGGCGGCAGGGGGAGGGGCAGCAGCAGGGGGAGGGGCGGGGGGGGAGGAGGAGCGGGGGAGCAGGTGTGGGGGGAGTGGCGGGTGGGCGTGCCGTGTGGGGGGAGCAGCGCGAGTTTTTTCCGGCGCCTTGCCTTGGTTCCAAGTGGGACCCCTCCTCTTCCCCCTCCCTGACCCTCCCGATTCCCCCGCCTCTTCTTCCTCCGCCTCTTCGCCTTCCTCGTTGGTAGTGCCTCCGGGGGGAGTGGCGCTGCACTTGGTGATCCGAGGCGTGCAAGGCAGTAACAGCAGCAGCAACAGCAGCAACAGCAGCAGCAGCTGCCACCGCCACTAGCAGCGTAGTTGCCAGTAGCAGCAGTGACACCAGTAGCGCCAGCGCCACCGGCACCAGCACAAGCACACGCAGCAGCAGCTATGAGAGTAGCAGCAGAGCAACAGCAGGAGCAGGGGCAGCAGCGGGAGTGAATGCGACGGAAGAGGGGAGCACTGCTATCGACTTTGTCTCTGTCATGCCCACTAGCAGTGAGTTATAGGCGCTGGGGGGCGAACTGCAAGAAGGGATAGAGTCCCAGTCCCAGGTGAGTGAGAGGGGAAGGTACTTGGCGCGTTTCGATGGTAAAGGGTGTGGCCGTGCCGTTTGAAGCGGGGAGCACTGCTATCGACCTTGCGTCTGTCATGCCACTAGCGGTGAGTCAGAGAGGCAGCAGTGGTTGGCAGGGTCACACACAGGTGTGTCACACGATGTTGAAGAGAGTGGGCGTGGCGTTGGAAGCGGGAAGCACTGCTATCGACCTTGCGTCTGTCATGCCCACCAGCAGTGAGTCAGAGAGGCAGCAGTGGTTGGCAGGGTCACGGGTGTGTCACAGGTATGGCAGGAGGAAGCATGCGCGGCACACTGAAAGCATGCGCTGCACACTGAAAGCATACGCTGCACACACATTCGCTCAACAGCCCACAACCCACTCCAGTGCATAATCAATCTATCACTCACTTCTGCTCCCACTCTTCCTCGCCCTTCACTTCCCCCCATCCCTTTCCACTCCCCATCCCATCCCCCCCACCCCACTGCCCTGCAGCCGACCCCTCCCCCGTCAAGTCGTTCTCCTACTGGCCCCTCTCTAGCGCCCACCCACTCCTGTGCATGGTCAATCCATCACTCACTTGTGCTCCCACTCTCCCCCCCCTTCACCTCCCCTCCCCTCTTCCCCCCGCACTGCCCTGCCCTGCAGCCGACCCCTCGCCCGTCAAGTCGTTCTCCTACTGGCCGCTCTCCAGCGCCCACCCGCTCCTCACAGCCGGCGCAGCGCGCCGCAACCGCTCGTCGCTCTCCCTCACCACGCTCTCTGACGTGAATGCGCCGTCCCTCGCGCTGCACCCCGCCCCCTTGGCCCTGCTCGCCCCTGCCACGCCCACCTCCCCCTGCCGCCCCTTCTCCTTCTCTACCTCCTTCGCCTTCCGCATCTCCTCCCCCAACGCCGCGGGGCTGGGCGGCGAGGGCTTGGCGTTTGTCATGCTGCCCACGCCCACGCTCGGCCTGCCGGGGCCGTCCCTGGGCTACGGGCGCGTGCTGCTGCCCCCGGGGAGCACGACTGCTGCTGATAATAATGATAGTTCAAGTGCCAGCAGTGCAACAGTGTCGTCTCAGGTACACTCTAACTCAGGTGGGCAGCAACTCAGGTGGGCAGCAATGCATAAACTCAGGTTGTTACTCCACCTGACTTGATCTTTTGTGAGAGAGCAGCTGAGCAGGAGAGCCTTGCTCTCTCGCTCTCGTGTTCTCCCACCCCTGCTGCTCCAATGTTCGGCATATCTGCTTCTCCCCTCCTCCACCCGTCCCCCTCTCCTCCCCTCCCACATCTGCAGCCCCCACTGGAATCTCGCAGTTCGACATCTGAACCTCTCAGCATGCCTCTTCTCGTCCCACCCTTCCCTTGCACAGCAGCAGCGGAGTCTAGCAGTGGAGTTTGACACATGCGCCTCACCCAAGTTCTGGGACCAGCAGGAGCACCATGTGGGGGTGAACCTTCACGGCAGCATGCTCTCTCTCGCCTCTGCCCCCGTGCACCCCGTCGGCATTCCCTCCCTCAACGCCGCTCAGACCCTCCTCGCCACCATCCAGTACAACGCCTCCTCCTCCCAGCTCACTGTTTGGATCTCCCCCGCCCCACCCTCCTCCACTCCCCGCGCGTCCCCTCACTCCACCCCTCTCTCTTCCTCCTCCTCCTCCTCCCCCTACGCCCCCTCCTCCCCTCCTCTCCCCCGCTCTGCTGTCCTCACCACATTCCTGGACACCTGCGAGTGGCTCGGCGGGAACAACCCCGATGCAGCAGCAGCAGCGCCACCGCCGCCGCTGTTTGTGGGCTTCACTGCGGCTACTGGCAAGGGCGTGGAGCAGGCACAGGCGCACGAGGTGCTGGGGTGGAGTTTTGAAGTCGGGGAAGGTGAGTTCAGTTCAGGTGTCGTTTTGAGCCGGTGCTATTCACACCTTTTGAGTCGACTCAAAACGCATGCGCAAGAGGCGTATTTTGCACGCATTTATACGCAGTACGCAAAGTCTTTTGAGAGTTTTTTTTTGTTTTTTTTGTTTTTTTTTTTTTTTTTAGTCGACTCAAAACGCATGCGCAAGAGGCGTATTTTGTACGCGTTTATACGCAGTACGCAAAGTCTTTTTAGAGTTTTTTTTTTCAGGTTAAGCTCTCGTCTCACCACACATTCCGTTCCGTTCTTTCTTGCAGAGCTTGTACTGCAGTATTCTCAGTCCATTCCCGTTTTTCACCTCTCTTAACTGCCTTTGCCCTTGCCTTGTTTCTTCAAAACTCCACCGAATGTTCCATCCCTTCTCGTATACCATAACCATACCACGTCAAACCCAGGGACCAGGTTATGACTCGGCATGTGATGCCATGTCCTCCTCATTTAAACCTTCACCTAAACCCTTCCCCCTCTTCCCCTCCTCCCCTGCTCCTTCTCTTCCCCTCCTTCCCTGCTCCCCCCTCCCCCCTGCACCCCTCCCCCTGTTTCGCTCGTCACATCACATCATCATCAACCCCAGCAGCGGTCGATCCGCTTCCCTTTTGGGCGGCAGACTCGTTCTCCTTCCCCTACATCACGCCAGCCACTCCCCTGCTGACACGTGGCAGCACAAGGAAGCGTTTCTTTGCCGCCGACCTTTCTGTCGCTGCTGACGTGGCATCCACCGGCCAATCAGACGACCCCGCCCCTGGAGCCATCTTCTTTCCTCGCCGTCTCCCCCTCCTCTACTCCTCCTCCTCCCCTACCTTCCCTCCTCCTCCCTTTTCTCGTCCTCTCAGCTCGCCCCTTTCCTCTCCTTCCTCCGATCCACAACCCTCAGTCGCCGAACCTCCCACCGAACCTCCCGTCTGCATGGCACGCTCGTTCACCTTCACATACGGCTTTACCATGAACGTATCAGCGACTCAGGGGCTCGCATTCGTTATAAGCACACATGCGAGCGTGGGCCTAGGCGGGGCTTATATGGGGTATGGCCGGGACCCGTCCGCGCGACTCGCTAACGGCAGCTGGCCCGACGGCGCGCGGAGTGTAGCTGTGGAATGGCGCACTGTACCAAACCCAGAAACGGGCGATATAAACGATATAAATGGAGTACGTGTCGGGATTAACACCGATTTTAACATGACTTCGGTTTTTGAAACGGAGGCAATGTGTGGTATGGAGCCGGAGGAGGTGTGGCATATGAGGGTTGACTATAACAGGAGCAGCAAGGAGATGGCGCTGAGATGGTACCGCCTGCCTGCTCTAAAAGGCAGCGTGAGGGTCACCATTGACCTGTGTGCTGCTCTCAGTGGGGCTTCTGACAGCAGCGGAAGCAGCAGTGGCAGCGGTAGCAGCAGCAGCGGCGGCAGCGGCGGCGGCAGCAGCAGTGGCGCAGCAGCAGCGGTGGCAGCAGCAGCAGCAGCAGCAGCAGCAGCAGCAGCAGCAGCAGCAGCAGCAGCAGCAGCAGCAGCAGCAGCAGCAGCAGCAGCAGCAGCAGCAGCAGCAGCAGCAGCAGCAGCAGCAGCAGCAGCAGCAGCAGCAGCAGCAGCAGCAGCAGCAGCAGCAGCAGCAGCAGCAGCAGCAGCAGCAGCAGCAGCAGCAGCAGCAGCAGCAGCAGCAGCAGCAGCAGCAGCAGCAGCAGCAGCAGCAGCAGCAGCAGCAGCAGCAGCAGCAGTGGCAGCAGCGGTGTGACGGACCCAGCATGGCCATCCTGGGGGCAGCTGTTCGTGGGGTTCACCAGCGCTGCTCTCCCTCCTCCCACTGGCCGCCTGCCTTCCCCCGTCACCCTCTCCTCCTGGACCTTCAGATTCACAGGTAAGAGGGAGGCGAGGCAAGGGGGCGAGATGGGGGGGGAAGGGAAAGAGAGAAGAAAGGGTAGCAAGCCACGCATGCATGTATACTGCCGCCTACATCAGTGAAAGGAAAGGACTGCTTGAGAAAGGGTGGCATGCCACGTGCCCTGCCAGGCTGCAGCCGTTGACCTCTCTTCCTGGGCCTTACGGTTTACTCCGAGACTTTCTAACCATCTGTGTGGAGTGGCTGGGCTGGAATTCTCTCTCCTCCTGCCTCACACCCCCCCCTTTTGAGGCGGCTCAAGTGTCCTCTCCTCCTGGACCTTCAGGTTTACTTGGAACTTTCTAACCATCTGCATGGAGGGGCTGGGCTGGACTCCCCTCTCCTCCCGCCTCACACCGCCCCTTTCCACTCCTCCATAACCATCCTTCCCTTCCAATTGAGTGATACTGATCCCTGCAAGGCCTCTCCACTGCTTCCCTGTGCCATGCCTGCATGCTCCATGCCCCACCCTTTCCCCGTTTCTATCCTCCGTCCCTTCCAATAGTCAGACAACGATTGCAAGACCTCTCCAGGTGTCGCCCTGTGGAGCGGGAGTGTGTGCCAAGGCGTCTGCCCCATGGGACCCCTCTATCCTCGTGCCTCATTCTCTCCCTCTCCTCACTCTCCAACTGTCTCATTCCCTTCATCCACCCCAACAGACACCAACTCCTGTACAGCTTCTCCAGTGTTGCCCTGTGGAGAGGCCGTGTGCACCAAGGCGTCTGCCCCGTGGGACCCCTCTAACCTTGTGCCTTATACTTTCCCTCTCCCCACTCTCCGACTCTCTCATTTCCTTCATCCACCCGCAACAGACACCGATCCCTGCACGGGTTCTCCTGTGCTGCCCTGTGGAACGGGCGTGTGCACCAAGGCGCCTGCCCCATGGGACCCTCTATATTCGGTGCTCATACTCTCCCTCTCCTCACTTTCCAACTGTCTCATTCCCTTCACCTCTCCGCCAACAGACACTGATCTCTGCAAGGCCTCTCCACTGCTGCCCTGTGCCATGCCTGCATGTTCCACCCTTTCCCCGTTTTTATCCTCCCTCCGCACAACAGACACTGACCCCTGTACAGCTTCTCCTGTGCTGCCCTGTGGAACGGGTGTGTGCACCAAGGCGCCTGCCCCGTGGGACTCGTCTATCCTCCTGCCTGTCTGCAAGTGCCCCTTCAATCTCCCCTCCTTCGAACCCTCTCACCTCTCCGGCCTGCCCTCCTGCTTCCCCGGTGAGTCGTGGAGTGTGGTCGACATGAGGTGGAGTGCAGTAGGTGAGAGGTGGAGTGCAGTAGGTGAGAGGTGTAGTGCGGTGGGTGAGGGGTGGATTGCGGTGGTCCGGTGGATGAGAGGTGGAGTGCTGTTGGTGCCGTTTTGGTTTGTGAATGACATTGTGATGTATTCATGCACTCGTTCTTGATTCACAACACTCTTTGAGAAAATGCAGAAGTTTTTATGCCTCAGTTACAAAAATTCCTTAATCAACCTACTCTTTCCCCTTATTTTCTGGCTCTTCAAAATTCTCAAAAGTGTGCGCTCTGGTGCATTGTGACCGTCCTGCAACACCCTTTTTTCTTCGTTCCCCTCCCTTACCTCCCACCACCCTCCTCCTTTCCCCTTCTTCCCCTTCCTGCAACACCCTTTTTTCTTCTTTTTCCTCATCTCCCCTTTCTCCTCCTCTCTCATTCTCCGCCCCCCTTCCCCCTTGCCCCCATGTCCCCATCCCCCGCCCCCCTGTCCCATATTCCCACCGCCCCCCCCTCCCCCCTCCCTGTCACGTCACCAGATTCCTTCACATGTCGCCATCTCCCCCGCAACCCATGTGCCCTGGGGGTGTGTATCGATGACATAGACGGCACCTACTCCTGCCTCTGCCCCTCGCCCTTCTTCCCCTTCTATCCGAAACGCACTAACCGCTGTTACCAATGTACGTAACAACACTTGCCCTACCTGCCTCTGGTCCCAAAGGGGAAGTGGGTTTATTTTTTTACCCCCTGCCTGCCTCTGGCCCTCTCTCACATGCCCCTCTCTCACATGCGCGCTTGTTCTGTTCATCTTGTCGTTCAATAGCATTGACTTCTGGAATGCCTGAAGGCCCATTACCAACACTTAGGGATGAGCAAATGGCGAACACGAACATGTTCGTGTTCGCCTGGGCTCGAACATGGCTGTTCGGCGAACCGAACACTGTTCGGTTCGCCGAACACTTTACACCAAAAAGGGTGTTCGAAGTTCGCCAAGAGAGGCGAACATTTCGAACGTTTTGGCGAACACGAACATGTTCGTCCAGAACATGTTCGCGTTCGCCTTAAAGGGCCTTCTCAGATCCAAGTAGAGTGAAATCCAAATGTTTCACATTCCCTCCCCCCACCCCCCAAGCCAGTCCCGCCCTGCTTCATCCAAGCTAGTGCCATCGTGCAACGGCGAAATGCTAGATCTACGCTTAAGCAACGGCGAAATGCTAGATCTACGCTTAAGCAACGGCGAAATGCTAGATCTGAGCTTAAGCAACGGCGAAATGCTTGATCCGCACTTAGGCAACGGCGGAATGCTAGATCTATACTTAAGCAACGGCGAAATGCCTTGATCCGCACTTAAGCAACGGCGAAATGCCTTGATCCGCACTTAAGCAACGGCGAAATGCCTTGATCCGCACTTAAGCAACGGCGAAATGCCTTGATCCGCACTTAAGCAACGGCGAAATGCCTTGATCTGAGCCCAAACACCAAGACCCGCGACCTAAAAATTGGTCGCGGGCCTATTCGTCGACGAACACATTGGTGTTCATCGAAGGCCCGTGTCGAACACGAACACGTTCGTGTTCGACGCGCCTCGGCCAGCTGAGCCGGGCGAACGGCGAACGTGTTCGGGCGAACACCGAACACGTTCGCCCCGAACACTTTAGGCCCAAAAAAAATCCTGTTCGGTTCGCCTGTGTTCGTCATATTGCTCATCCCTACGCAACACTTGTCATGAGACGCTGCAAGGCTCATTACCAACAATCGTCATGCCATCCGCTTTTGAGTCGACTCAAAAGCGTCTCATAGCATGGAGTTTCTTGGACTTTCTTGGACGCTGCAAGGCTCATTACCAACAATTGTCATGCCATCCTTCTCACGACCTTGCATTCCTGCTCTTGGGTACATCTGATCTGATTCAGATAATTTGAGCACATCTGAGTGATCGCCCTGCTTCTTCAACCTTGCTGCATGCATTGCAATGACCTGCCTGCCTGATTTTTGAGGCGCCTCAAAAATTGACCTGCCTGCCTGCCCGCCTGCCTGCCTGCCTGCCTGCCTGCCTGCCTGCGTTCCTGCCTGCCTGCCTGCCTGTGTGCCTGTCGGCCTCATGCCTACCCCGCGTGCATGCAGTGCGATCATTCGAACTGCGAGTGCCCACCTTCCTGTCTCCCTACGGCCTCACATGCCCTCTCATCCTCAACACTTACGGACTCACCCAAGCAGCCTTCTTCAGCCAAAACAAGGTGTGAAAGACTTTGGTCGGGAAGGTGTTGCATCACAACAGGCATCACAACTCGTTTTCTTGTCACGTGCCCCTTTATCCTGAAAGTCAACTATTCTAGAGGCGCCCAAAGCATCCTCGTCACTTCTGAGAAATCTTCATTGGACAATTACATAGGGCACAGGGCAATTTCTTCAGCCAAAGGCAACTACATAGGACAATGTCTTCAGCCAGAGTAACGTCAGTTCATGAGGTGACTTTTGAGTCGACTCAAAAGTCAAGGCAACTACATAGGACAATGGCTTCAGCCAGAGTAACGTCAGTTCACGGAAGTCTATCAGTTCGTTCGGGTTACTACAAGTTAAATCAGATGGCATGACATCACACGACTGCATTGCCTTTCTGCTCACCTGCCCTGCCCCCCCTCATTGCCACTCACGGCCCCTCACTTCCCCTCAATTCCCCGCACTTCCCCTCAATTTCCCTCACTGCCCCTCACTGCCCCTCACTGCCCCTCACTGCCCCTCACTGCCCCTCACTGCCCCTCACTGTCCCTCACTGCCCCTCACTGCCCCTCACTGTCCCTCACTGCCCCTCACTGCCCCTCACTGCCCCTCACTGCCCCTCACTGCCCCTCACTGCCCCTCACTGCCCCTCACTGTCCCTCACTGTCCCTCACTGCCCCTCACTGCCCCTCACTGCCCCTCACTGCCCCTCACTGCCCCTCACTGCCCCTCACTGCCCCTCACTGCCCCTCACTGTCCCTCACTGCCCCTCACTGCCCCTCACTGCCCCTCACTGCCCCTCACTGCCCCTCACTGCCCCTCACTGCCCCTCACTGCCCCTCACTGCCCCTCACTGCCCCTCACTGCCCCTCACTGCCCCTCACTGCCCCTCACTGCCCCTCACTGCCCCTCACTGCCCCTCACTGTCCCTCACTGCCCCTCACTGCCCCTCACTGCCCCTCACTGCCCCTCACTGCCCCTCACTGCCCCTCACTGTCCCTCACTGCCCCTCACTGTCCCTCACTGCCCCTCACTGCCCCTCACTGTCCCTCACTGCCCCTCACTGCCCCTCACTGTCCCTCACTGCCCCTCACTGCCCCTCACTGCCCCTCACTGTCCCTCACTGTCCCTCACTGTCCCTCACTGCCCCTCACGGCCCCTCACGGCCCCTCACGGCCCCTCACGGCCCCTCACGGCCCCTCACGGCCCCTCACGGCCCGCACGGCCCCTCACTGCCCCTCACTGCCCCTCACTGCCCCTCACTGCCCCTCACTGCCCCTCACTGCCCCTCACTGCCCCTCACTGCCCCTCACTGCCCCTCACTGCCCCTCACTGCCCCTCACTGCCCCTCACTGCCCCTCACTGCCCCTCACTGCCCCTCACTGCCCCTCACTGCCCCTCACTGCCCCTCACTGCCCCTCACTGCCCCTCACTGCCCCTCACTGCCCCTCACTGCCCCTCACTGCCCCTCACTGCCCCTCACTGCCCCTCACTGCCCCTCACTGCCCCTCACTGCCCCTCACTGCCCCTCACTGCCCCTCACTGCCCCTCACTGCCCCTCACTGCCCCTCACTGCCCCTCACTGCCCCTCACTGCCCCTCACTGCCCCTCACTGCCCCTCACTGCCCCTCACTGCCCCTCACTGCCCCTCACTGCCCCTCACTGCCCCTCACTGCCCCTCACTGCCCCTCACTGCCCCTCACTGCCCCTCACTGCCCCTCACTGCCCCTCACTGCCCCTCACTGCCCCTCACTGCCCCTCACTGCCCCTCACTGCCCCTCACTGCCCCTCACTGCCCCTCACTGCCCCTCACTGCCCCTCACTGCCCCTCACTGCCCCTCACTGCCCCTCACTGCCCCTCACTGCCCCTCACTGCCCCTCACTGCCCCTCACTGCCCCTCACTGCCCCTCACTGCCCCTCACTGCCCCTCACTGCCCCTCACTGCCCCTCACTGCCCCTCACTGCCCCTCACTGCCCCTCACTGCCCCTCACTGCCCCTCACTGCCCCTCACTGCCCCTCACTGCCCCTCACTGCCCCTCACTGCCCCTCACTGCCCCTCACTGCCCCTCACTGCCCCTCACTGCCCCTCACTGCCCCTCACTGCCCCTCACTGCCCCTCACTGCCCCTCACTGCCCCTCACTGCCCCTCACTGCCCCTCACTGCCCCTCACTGCCCCTCACTGCCCCTCACTGCCCCTCACTGCCCCTCACTGCCCCTCACTGCCCCTCACTGCCCCTCACTGCCCCTCACTGCCCCTCACTGCCCCTCACTGCCCCTCACTGCCCCTCACTGCCCCTCACTGCCCCTCACTGCCCCTCACTGCCCCTCACTGCCCCTCACTGCCCCTCACTGCCCCTCACTGCCCCTCACTGCCCCTCACTGCCCCTCACTGCCCCTCACTGCCCCTCACTGCCCCTCACTGCCCCTCACTGCCCCTCACTGCCCCTCACTGCCCCTCACTGCCCCTCACTGCCCCTCACTGCCCCTCACTGCCCCTCACTGCCCCTCACTGCCCCTCACTGCCCCTCACTGCCCCTCACTGCCCCTCACTGCCCCTCACTGCCCCTCACTGCCCCTCACTGCCCCTCACTGCCCCTCACTGCCCCTCACTGCCCCTCACTGCCCCTCACTGCCCCTCACTGCCCCTCACTGCCCCTCACTGCCCCTCACTGCCCCTCACTGCCCCTCACTGCCCCTCACTGCCCCTCACTGCCCCTCACTGCCCCTCACTGCCCCTCACTGCCCCTCACTGCCCCTCACTGCCCCTCACTGCCCCTCACTGCCCCTCACTGCCCCTCACTGCCCCTCACTGCCCCTCACTGCCCCTCACTGCCCCTCACTGCCCCTCACTGCCCCTCACTGCCCCTCACTGCCCCTCACTGCCCCTCACTGCCCCTCACTGCCCCTCACTGCCCCTCACTGCCCCTCACTGCCCCTCACTGCCCCTCACTGCCCCTCACTGCCCCTCACTGCCCCTCACTGCCCCTCACTGCCCCTCACTGCCCCTCACTGCCCCTCACTGCCCCTCACTGCCCCTCACTGCCCCTCACTGCCCCTCACTGCCCCTCACTGCCCCTCACTGCCCCTCACTGCCCCTCACTGCCCCTCACTGCCCCTCACTGCCCCTCACTGCCCCTCACTGCCCCTCACTGCCCCTCACTGCCCCTCACTGCCCCTCACTGCCCCTCACTGCCCCTCACTGCCCCTCACTGCCCCTCACTGCCCCTCACTGCCCCTCACTGCCCCTCACTGCCCCTCACTGCCCCTCACTGCCCCTCACTGCCCCTCACTGCCCCTCACTGCCCCTCACTGCCCCTCACTGCCCCTCACTGCCCCTCACTGCCCCTCACTGCCCCTCACTGCCCCTCACTGCCCCTCACTGCCCCTCACTGCCCCTCACTGCCCCTCACTGCCCCTCACTGCCCCTCACTGCCCCTCACTGCCCCTCACTGCCCCTCACTGCCCCTCACTGCCCCTCACTGCCCCTCACTGCCCCTCACTGCCCCTCACTGCCCCTCACTGCCCCTCACTGCCCCTCACTGCCCTCACTGCCCCTCACTGCCCCTCACTGCCCCTCACTGCCCCTCACTGCCCCTCACTGCCCCTCACTGCCCCTCACTGCCCCTCACTGCCCCTCACTGCCCCTCACTGCCCCTCACTGCCCCTCACTGCCCCTCACTGCCCCTCACTGCCCCTCACTGCCCCTCACTGCCCCTCACTGCCCCTCACTGCCCCTCACTGCCCCTCACTGCCCCTCACTGCCCCTCACTGCCCCTCACTGCCCCTCACTGCCCCTCACTGCCCCTCACTGCCCCTCACTGCCCCTCACTGCCCCTCACTGCCCCTCACTGCCCCTCACTGCCCCTCACTGCCCCTCACTGCCCCTCACTGCCCCTCACTGCCCCTCACTGCCCCTCACTGCCCCTCACTGCCCCTCACTGCCCCTCACTGCCCCTCACTGCCCCTCACTGCCCCTCACTGCCCCTCACTGCCCCTCACTGCCCCTCACTGCCCCTCACTGCCCCTCACTGCCCTCACTGCCCCTCACTGCCCCTCACTGCCCCTCACTGCCCCTCACTGCCCCTCACTGCCCCTCACTGCCCCTCACTGCCCCTCACTGCCCCTCACTGCCCCTCACTGCCCCTCACTGCCCCTCACTGCCCCTCACTGCCCCTCACTGCCCCTCACTGCCCCTCACTGCCCCTCACTGCCCCTCACTGCCCCTCACTGCCCCTCACTGCCCCTCACTGCCCCTCACTGCCCCTCACTGCCCCTCACTGCCCCTCACTGCCCTCACTGCCCCTCACTGCCCCTCACTGCCCCTCACTGCCCCTCACTGCCCCTCACTGCCCCTCACTGCCCCTCACTGCCCCTCACTGCCCCTCACTGCCCCTCACTGCCCCTCACTGCCCCTCACTGCCCCTCACTGCCCCTCACTGCCCCTCACTGCCCCTCACTGCCCCTCACTGCCCCTCACTGCCCCTCACTGCCCCTCACTGCCCCTCACTGCCCCTCACTGCCCCTCACTGCCCCTCACTGCCCCTCACTGCCCCTCACTGCCCTCACTGCCCCTCACTGCCCCTCACTGCCCCTCACTGCCCCTCACTGCCCCTCACTGCCCCTCACTGCCCCTCACTGCCCCTCACTGCCCCTCACTGCCCCTCACTGCCCCTCACTGCCCCTCACTGCCCCTCACTGCCCCTCACTGCCCCTCACTGCCCCTCACTGCCCCTCACTGCCCCTCACTGCCCCTCACTGCCCCTCACTGCCCCTCACTGCCCCTCACTGCCCCTCACTGCCCCTCACTGCCCCTCACTGCCCCTCACTGCCCCTCACTGCCCCTCACTGCCCCTCACTGCCCCTCACTGCCCCTCACTGCCCCTCACTGCCCTCACTGCCCCTCACTGCCCCTCACTGCCCCTCACTGCCCTCACTGCCCCTCACTGCCCCTCACTGCCCCTCACTGCCCCTCACTGCCCCTCACTGCCCCTCACTGCCCCTCACTGCCCCTCACTGCCCC